GTGGGTGGCTATACTGTGTGAGATGACCGTATGAGTGAAATCTTGGTAAGCAGGGGATAAAATCTCTCTCTCTCTCCTTCCTCCTTCTCGCTCTCTCTTTCTCCTTCCCCCTTCTAACTCTCTCGGTTCAATTCCTCATGTTTACTTAACCCACTGGCCATACGACACTCTTTACCTCACCCAGGGAAAACCTCCACATAAGAACTATCTAAAAAAAAAAGAGATGTTCTTCCATACCTAAACATCAGATATTGCAACTTTCACAATCCCGCGTTCATCCTTCACCTGAACCCCCGTGTAGTGGAGAGCTTAACTATAGCGTTTGAATTTTTAGGAACCAGTGTATTTACGTTTCAGGAGGGGTTTTGAAAGACGTCACAGCCACATGCCCTAGTTGGGTGTTTAGTAATCAAGAGTCGATGTTATTTCCGTATTGTGCAATGTGGTTGAGGGTAGTTAGGGGTGGTTGAGGGTGACTAAGGGGTAGTTAGGGGTGGTTGAGGGTGACTAAGGGGTGGTTAGGAGTGGGTGAGAGAGCGTAAATGGTTGCTTGTGTGTTCTGCCCGTTAGTCAGAACATGTACTTGACAACGGGGCTTATCACCCACAAACATCCTGTGTACATCAACCACTCTGTACATTATAACTTTACACACACACACACACACACACACATACACACACACACACACACACACCTCCGAACATAAACATACAAGTATCCCCTCTAGCGCGCCCTGCATCTACTCCTGACGCAGACACAAGTACCACCCTCGACGCCTCCCCAGGGATACTACGGCAGCTTAAACTCACCTTCGACGCCTTCTACAAGTACCACAGAACCCTCGAGACATCCTACAAGTACCACAACCACCCTTAAGTCACCCTCGACGCCTCCTACAAGTACCACAACCACCCTCAAGTCACCCTCGAGACATCCTACAAGTACCACAACCACCCTTAAGTCACCCTCGACGCCCCGACCACCAGACACACACCCTCCACAGCCTCACACTTGACCAGCGGCGCCCTTGACTCACCCTCAACCTCGTGTTAATTATTTTGTTAGCTGTTGTGTTCGACCTTCAGGATCTTGTTTATCTACCAACACACTGAGAGAGAGAGAGAGAGAGAGAGAGAGAGAGAGAGAGAGAGAGAGAGAGAGAGAGAGAGAGAGAGAGAGAGAGAGAGAGAGAGAGAGAGAGAGAGAGATATATATACAAAAACTATGGTAGATAAATAGATAACGATGGCTGTTTAAAGACGCGTGTTGGTGTAAAAGTCTACGGAAACTGCCCTTACTGTTTCATTTACTTCTGTGTGTGTGTGAGATGGGTGGCTTCCCAAGGGTGGGGGGACGGGTTGAGGGGTGGTGGACGGGGGTAGACAGGCACGGAGTGAGGGGTGGGAGGGGTGAGGGGGGGGACGGGTTGAGGGGTGGTGGACGGGTAGACAGGCACGTAGTGAGGGGTAGGAGGGGTGAGGGGGGGACGGGTAGTATAAACACGGTGGCGGGCGTCGTAGTAAACAGAGGCGGCCAGAGAGTAAACTATCTACCCTGTGTGTAGTCTGCCCGCCGGCGCCATCACCGCCGCCACCACTACTACTACTACTACTACTACCATCGCCTCTACCACCACTACTACTAACACCACTAACATTACCAGAAACACCACCACTATTTAATATTTAGTATCATAGTAGTGACCTGACCTCCTGACCTCTGACCCTTGACTGGTGGATCATCAAAAACTTGGGATGTAACAAACTAAGGAACAAGTATGGCCACTGTTCAACACCCTGTCTTCAGATACTGTGTACACGAGCCTTCAGTATATAGGAGTCTGATTTCATAAGCCTTTGTGGTGGTAACGTGAGGAGAGGGGGAGGAAGGAGGAGGGGGCAGAGGATGGAGGAAGGGGAGAGGGTGGAAAGGAGTGGGGGAAGAGGGGGGAGAAGGAAAGGAGAAGGAAGAAGGAGCTGAAGGATTCGCTAGATGAAAGAGGATACATGGAGAGAGATGATGATAACAAGGTCGGTGGGGGAGGTGAGGGAGGGGAAGTGGAGGTGAAAGGGAGGGGGATAGTTGGCACACTGCTCCTCCCCCGAGCACTTGTGTAAAGTGTGTTGCCAACCGTGTCTTGCCATAACACTAACCCCACAACACCCAAACCTACACTACACCCCCCACCCCTCATAACAGTCCCCCCCCACCATTACAACTCAGTATCTCGCTACACCAAAACCACCAACGTACTCTTAGTTCCAAGGCAGTATGTATGTATGTATGTATGTATGTATGTATGTATGTATGTATGTATGTATGTCTGTATGTATGTATGTATATGCGGAAATACATCAGCTGAAAATAACTACATTGTCAATAAACCATTTTCCATACAAATTACTAAGGTGAGTTTTATCATTAATGAGACACACACACCTGTTGAGATATGTGCTGTAAACACTTAACACCTGACAAGTTGACCCCATCACTATATTGCACCACGATCATTCATTTTTATCCATTTATCCATTTATTTATTTATTTATTTATTTATTTATTTATTTATTTATTTTCTCAAGTAAAATATTATGATAGATTTTAACCTCAGATCCAATTTTTTGAAGACCTTAATATATTTCTTGTGCCAACTATTTTTTTTTCATCACCTTCTGATACACACTATAATACTTGTAATAAAACAACTACCACCAGAATCACCACTATCACACCACCATCACCACCACCATCACCACCAGACACCATCACCACCAGACACCATCACCACCAGACACCATAACCACAACTACTACTACTATCATCAGTGTCACTATTATCACCACCACCACATCGAAACCAACACCACTAGACCTCCCCAGACAACCACCACCACCCAACAATACCACCACCCCAACAACACCACCACTTCAACACCTGCCACCACAACACTCCAGCTCCACCACCACCCCAACAACACCACCACCACAACACTCCAACTCCACCACCACCCCAACAACACCACCACCCCAACAACACCACCACTTCAACACCACCACCACCACAACACTCCAACTCCACCACCACGCCGCCACCTCAGTTACTGGCAGAAACCGGTCTGACGTCAACGGTAACATTCACTACAGTAAGTTTATGCATTAACAAGGAGGTAACATTTCTTCACCAGGTCCAGTATATCTCTCCAGTGTACACAGAGACAGGCTCATAGGATCCACACACACACACATACACATACACACATATACACATACACACACACATACTATACACACATACACACACACACACATATACACATATACACACACACATACTACACATAGTACACACACACATACACACTCCATATATGCTGTGCATTTAAAATATACAAACACACACACACACACACACACACACACACACACACACACACACACACACACACACACACACACACACACACACACACCTGCATTAATCAAATTTACCTTTAAGAATTTCAACTAATAAATACAGTAACCCACAATCAACACTGCTTTTACCACCCAACTTCTTCTTCCTTGTTCTTCTTCTTCCTTGTTCTTGTTCTTCTTCTTGTTCTTTTTCTTCCTTGTTCTTGTTCTTCTTCTTGTTCTTTTTCTTCCTTGTTCTTGTTCTTCTTCTGCTTCTTCTTCCTTGTTCTTGTTCTTCTTCTTCTTCTTCTTCCTTGTTCTTGTTCTTCCTTGTTCTTGTTCTTTTTTCTTCCTTGTTCTTGTTCTTTTTCTTCCTTGTTCTTGTTCTTCTTCCACGTCTCAACAGGTTCGTCCTCCTCCTCTCTCCTCTCCCAATAACCTCACAACACCCACTATATATCCCTTACCATACCCCTGGACACACATAACCACATCATCAACACACCCACTAACGACCGACTCTCCACTAATCACCACACCTTCTGAGAACTTGTTGCTCATACCGCAGCCAACTCAACTAATGTCAAGGTCTTCGTCACCCCCGTCGTAGGTATGGTTTACACAGATAAGTGAAAATATTACGGAGAATTATTATACCTTACGAACTATCGCTCTTTGTTATGTGAGGGTCTTGTGTGTGTGTGTGTGTGAGTGATTGGTGTGTGTGTGTGTGTAAGTAAATCATTAAATTCCCACAAACTTTCCTCTTAGTTTCACCGACACACACAAATAAATTTACCAAACACACATTCTCTTAAAATTTTACCTTGACTATTAACACGCCATTCTGAATATTGGACAGAGACACACACACACACACACACACATTCACTGCTCTTAAAGTAAAGTGGTTTTCTCACTAGTCCCGTGTCACCCCGTCACCCAGTCACATCAATACACAACACTCAGGAAGCATTATGTCTCTCCTTGGGAATTTATACAAAACACAATACATTAAATCTTATATTTCTTGTTCACTTCTTCTCAAATTTTGCCCTCGGTGTTTTCTCTAATGCACGTGAAGATATATTCTCTCTCTCTCTCTCTTCTTTTCTCATCTTTATTTCTTATTGCTGTATTTGCTTTTATTTACCCACTTACACGATCCCACATGTAAACATTGACCAAGAAGGCTGGTTATGTAATGCTGTCCTACTGTGTGTGTGTGTGTGTGTGTGTGTGTGTGTGTGTGTGTGTGTGTGTGTGTGTGTGTGTGTGTGTGTGTGTGTGTTCTGTTCTTCAGGTCGTGGGTGCAGGAACAGCCACCTTAATAATAAATGCCTATAGATCGTTAGCTGTTTTACGCAGAAAAATTCTCCCAAGGCCAACTATCCTTGAGAATATTTATCAAATGAGAAATTGTCCAATGGGTGGTGAGATGGCTGTTGGGGGAGGGGGTAGAGGGGTGTTGGGGGAGGGTGTTGGGGGTGTGGGGGAGAGGGGTGTTGGGGGGAGAGGGCTATGGGAGAGGGCCAGTTATCGGGGTGGTAACCTAATGAGTCATGTAGCCACCACAACCTCACGTGTCATCTCTCTCTCCTACAGACGTATGAGCCCAAGGGTTTCGTGGCGGAGGTGTAAGGAACGCCGTCGTGAGCCGCGTGTGTCGATGCCGATGTTCCTGGAGGAGTTCCCTACAGCCGTATCTCCATGCCGCCCCTCGTGCCTGTCAGTAAGGACGCACAGCAGCCCATATCCTGTTAGTAGACGTTCTCAAACTTGTCATACGCCGGGCTTTTGTTGCTGATGCATAATACACACACACACACACACACACACACACACACACACACACACACACACACACACGTAACAACATATCATGAAACATTCAACTCCAACCCAAAAAACTACCAATATCATCATGCACTTCATAGTATATTCACGATCCATAACACACACACACACACACACACACACACACACACACACACACACACACACACACACACACACACACACACACACACACACACACAGCTGCTTCTCGAGGTATACCTGGAACGAGGCTACATTTATCCAATAAAAACTAAGAATGTCTACCAACTTGTTGATCCCTTGAGTACTGTGCTATTAATGAGTTCGTTTCCACACATCTGCTTAATCTGGTGTGTGTGTGTGTGTGTGTGTGTGTGTGTGTGTGTGTTTTTTGTGTATGTGTTTTGTGTATGTGAGTGTCTTTGTGCTAATGTATGTGTTTAAGCATGTGCATTTTTTGTGTGTGTATATGCGTGTATTTGTTCATATTTTTGTGTCTTTGTGTGAATGTATCTGTTCATGCATGTGTATCTTTATATGTATTTCTGTGTATTTGTGCATGTTTGTGTGTGTGTGTGTGTGTGTGTAATTGTGCATGTTTGTGTGTGTGTGTGTGTAATTGTGTTGCATGTTTGTGTGTGTGTGTGTATTTGTGTGTGCATGTTTGTGTGTGTGTGTGTGTGTGTGTGTGTGTGTGTTTTGCATTTTGTGTGTGTGTGTGTGTGTGTGTTTGTGTTTTGTGTGTGTGTGTAATTGTGCATGTTTTTGTGTGTGTGTGTAATTGTGCATGTTTGTGTGTGTGTGTGTGTGTGTAATGTGCATGTTTTTTGTATGTGTGTGTGTGTAATATGCGTGTTTTCTCTATTTTATACCCTTCTGAAACCATCTCATTCGATGCTTACTTATCACCTTTAAAAGCATAAAGGAAGAACTATGTAAAACCGTTAAATAAACCACTAATATTCACCACTTAAATTTATATAAGGTGACTCGATTATTTTATAGTTTATTTATATAATTTATTTTATCTTTATACCTGTACCTGTATTAAATGGTGTAATATGTGCACCTGTTCTGTTAAAAGGTGTTTGTTATTGATGAAACTCTTCTGTGATGTTTCTAAATGTTGTTTATTTTAAATTATTAGCACACAGAATTATTAAAGTATCGTACACAGAATTATTAAAGTATCGTACACAGAATGATTCAATTATCGTACACAGAATTATTAAACTATCGTACGTAAGGAATAAATTGTACGTGTGTGTTGTACCAGATTCAGGGGAAGGAGGTAGCTGCCCTCATCCACACCGCCACACACATCTCCCTCATGTCTGCTTCACTTGTCCATGAGTTGGGTGTGAGGCAAGAAGTCCTGCCAGATACCTCCGTTCCTCCCTCACCTCTCACGGCAGGTCAGTACTGTTACCTCATCTGTCACTTTAAGGTCAATATTTTTCCCTCACCTCTCACTTTAGGTCGGTACTGTTACCTCACCTCTCACTTTAGGTCAATATTCTTCCCTCACCTCTCACTTTAGGTCAATATTCTTCCCTCACCTCTCACTTTAGGTCAATATTCTGCCCCCCCTCTCACTTTAGGTCAATAATGTTCCGTAACTTCGCACTGTAAGGCTGTACTTCCCAATGATGAGACAGACAGACAGACAGAAAGAGACGCCTCAAAAAACACCTCCATCTACCACCACTAACCAACATAATAATAATAATAATAATAATAATAATAATAATAATAATAATGATGATGATGATATTGATGATGATGATGATGATGATGATGATGATGATGATGATAGTGATAATGATAATGATAATAATGATCTCGACTGCTACAGGTACAGGGTCGCCGTGGTTGGTGGAGGAAAGCTGAGATATGTGGAACTATCCTTCAAGGCTCTAAACATGTCACACAGCTTCATGTTGGTTAGTATCCCTTCATGTTGGTTAGTATCCTTTATGTTGGTCAGTGTCCTTCATGTTGGTCAGTATCCCTTCATGTTTGGTCAGTATCCTTTATGTTGGTCAGTATCCCTTCATGTTGGCCAAGGATAATGCGATACTTGGTCACCCACGAAGGCTTAACATGCTAAGGAGAATAGTTATACAGGTCAGTAGCTAAACCCCTTTAGGATGATGGTTTAATCATATATATGGTAAAGGTTTAACTCTTTTAGGATGATAAGTTTAAACCATTGACTTCGAAGGGTTACAGTTTTGGTACCTCTTTAAAGCTTCTGTGTTCAGCTTACTCGCTACTAATCAAACCTGCTTCGTGTGTCTTCCCAAACAGCCCGTGATCTACCTGCTGACCTGGTACTAGGCGTGGATTTCCTGAAGAAGGCCCAAGTGCAGGTGAGCTTCCCGGAGAACGCCATCACCCTACCTAGCGGCAACCAGGAGACCAAAGTGTCCTTCCTCACCAGCAAGGAGATGAATCAACACCAGCGGCGCTCCTCTAACGCCGCCAACACCCCATCCAACAAGACCAGAGCATACTCTTCCAACTACTGACACGATCCCACGCCCGTAGAACCTCACCCGTCATAAAATTATTCACCTACATGTCTCTAACTTAGCTCCTCCCGTAACACCCAAACAGCCATCTTTATTAGAGTCCCCTTCATCATTGTGCTATATAACCTCAACTACCTAAAGTCATCACTTACAACATCAACTCTTTATTACCCTCAACTACTACTATTTAACAACCTTACCCTCGAGTCTTAACCTCCTCCTCCTCCTCCTCCTCCAATTACATATCCTTACCCCTTCTCCCTCCATTCAACAATTAGTATCTTCTTAAAATTAATTTTAAGCAATGTGTCAAAGTCTAGTTTCAATCTTGACCACTAGAGGGTGCTGAGGTCACTGATTGAAACCATAAGGATGGAAGGTGCTACATGTGGCCATCCTCTAAAGTCCTGGAGGAAACGTGGCTTTATAGATGCTGGTTAGAAAAAAAAATAAATAAAATGTGAAGAAATATTCCAAAAGGCATATTTAAACTCACTGGTGCAGAGAATATCTTCGTTATCATGTGCTGTGAATATCTTCGTTATCCGCGGTGCTGTGAATACCTTCGGATCCGCGGTGCTGTGAATATCTTGGTTATCCACGGTTGTTTTCCCAAGTCTTCACATCCTGAAATAAGTCAGAAATCAAAAACTTACCGACGAGAGAGAAAGCACGTGATGCCTGCAGTGATAATTAAAATAACATTAACAAATTCATAAATATAAACTATGGGTTAGTTTTTGGTGATAATGGACAACTGACTGTACAGAAAAATGTAAATAGTGTGTATAAATTACGGTAAAAAATGTATGTACTTACTGTATTTATATAAGTAATTCCTAACTTTATGTATTATCATCATCTAAATTTAAATTTTTCTGTTAACCAATATTAATAAATAACATAAAGTCTTAAATTTATCTTATATACCACAATAAAATATATAGTTAATTAGTTAGAGGAACCATTTTCGATAATACAGTTCTTTCACTGGTGCGTTTACAGGGCTGAATATAGGACGAGCCCTGTAAACGCACTATAGAAGGGGACTGTGCATCGGCCGTAAGGCACCCAAAGTCCATCCAGCTGTGAATAGGTACCCAACCTTATAACTGGGAAAAATTAAGGTGGTCGGGTGTAGTGCCGTTCACAGTGCCTCCTTCAGTGTAGGGAAAAGGTCTAGAATGATGTACAGTACCCGAAGAAAGAGGTACTGGATCCATTGACTGTTTCACCTGTCTGATAACAAAATAACAGCTGGTGATATTCCTGGTAGTATGGTGGGTACAGCTTTAAACCCACGAGAATATTTAGATACAGTCTTATCTATTATTACAGGTATTGTATATTCATTTTAAGGTACACCTTATAACCAACAAATCATCTGATCGGCACATCATCTGATCGGCACATCATCTGATCGACACATCTTCAATTACGAGAAATAGTCAACGTAAAACCTTGGAAATCAGAATCCTAAATGAATGGTACACATCAGTATGCAGGGTGATTGAAAGTCACTGTACATCTGTAATAACTAACAATTTAGTTGTTCCTTGCTGTACCTGCAGTGTCATCTACCTTGTTCTACTTAACAGTAAACATTGGGAACGGTATCCACTTCCAAATTTCACAACAACCATTTCGAATATTTACTGTAAGCAGAAAAAAGTAAATAACAATATGCTTAATTATTACAGATGCACAGGGGTCTTTTCTAACATCCTATACCATACACGAAATAAATAGGTTCTTGAATACTTTAAAGATTCATCCTTCAAGACAGAGAACCTGTTCCATGGAGTGTTGGATGAAAAACACTCGACAGGTAAGTTGATTCATTATCTGCTATAATACCTTAGTACAGTACCAATCTTAACCATGTCCTCTTAATTATTACATATTTATAGGTAAACACGTAGTAAATTTGATGAATGGACAGACTATTGACTTTGTCTCAGAATAAACTGGCATATTTATAGTTCCATTCAAGTTACTGCTTCAGCCTTACGTCGTCCACTGCATGACAGGTATTATCCACTTTACGTTAGATGAATGGATCGTAACAGCCATTAGCCCGAAGACTGATGACATCACTACTCAAATATTTATGTGGTGGGTCTCTGTGTGGTTGACTGGTCTACGGTAGGGCTGGGGTAAAGTCATACTTGGGACTTAAGCACAAGAGTATTCATGGTCACAATTATCGAATTTGTTTGGTCATTTATCACTTTAACTGGTGAATTGCCGATTGAAATACTTTATGTCGAAAGTTTCCTTTAAAGTCGGAACAAATTTGTTTGTCGTTTCAGGCAGTAACTCGTCTCAACGTGAGGAAAAAGTGCAATCAAAAACATTAAATAATCTACCCTACCAACCTTACCCTAACCTGGCATACGATTTAGGCTCGTAAGCCGATGTTTCCAGAATAATAATTTAAATAGTGAAATACATTAACAATTCCCTATAAAACTTAAGAAAGGAGAATGGTCTGGTACATAGCTTGGACCCGCCACTGTCTGGAGCCGTGAGTACTCCCACAACCACAAACACGAGCTGCTTTACACACACACATCACCTTCAGACACGACCACCTCCCCTGGGGTATAAACATTAGTCACTCAACCGGCTACAACTCCTTAGCAGCACAGACAGGGCTCAAGGGCGGAGAACTCACGCACCACAAGGACCAGTTAATGAACAGCACGGTTCACTACCAATGTAGCCAATGTGGGTAAATATATGCAATGAAGTCAATATTATCCTAGATGAATAAATCGGACTGTTAACCACTTCTCGATTATTATTGGGGCCAAAGTAAAAAAAATTGGAAACTTAATTTAATCTGAGTTGTGTTGTGTTAGGTTAGGTGAGGCTAGATTAGGTTAGTACATGCACTGATCTATTAACTCAGATTAAATTAAGTTCACCAATTTTTGTGACTTCGTGACACCAAATACTAGTCGAGGTTAGGTTAGGAAGTTAACATGCACTCGATCTATTAATCAGATTAAATTAAGTTTACCAATTTTTTGTGACACCAAATACTAGTCGAGAAGTGATTGGCAGTCCGATTTATTCATCTAGGACCATTATTTGACTTCATTCCGGCTATATTTGGCTACATTTGGGAACATTTGGGTAATTAGTCGGACCCCGAACAGCAGAACGAAACTGCCTCGTCTGTCTCTTTGTTTCTTCCCTGTGATGGGTTGAACTTTAGATTAGCTCAGACATATATACGAAGCACTATGAAGCAGTTCAACTCTTTAAAATACTGAAACATTACATAATAAAACAAACTACAGAATTTCACTGATTATAAATTATAATATGAAACCGTTAGGATACAGAAACGTGTCAAGCTATGTGAAGATTTACGAGACAGTAACCCTGCCCAGTATCCCAATTAGGGAAATATTAACTCTGATAATGCAGTCCTGGAAAGATTAACTTAACAGAATATTAACCTTACGTTATGGTATCCTGAAAAAACCTTAACCTAACATAATATTATACTAACACAACCTTAACTTATCATAACCTTAACCTAACCTTACCTGGCCTTTCCTTGAGTTATCATTTAATCTACTATAACATTAACAAATCACCATTTACACCACACGTCAATATTTATATTCGTTACATTGGTCACGCTATAAAGAGATACTCAACGATTAAGCCTTAGGGAAATTAATTAATATTTGGTAAAATTTTATTTTGTTTGATTTAAGACGTCCCTTACCACATTAAGATAGCCAAATTGGACCGAAAGGAAGTTAGGAAAGGTAGGGTTGGGTTAGGTTAAATGACCAAATTTAATAATAATTTAGGATTAGTGACATCAGCCTATATCAATCAACGAATGATGACAAATAATAACTGCCTAACTAATACTGTAGATGAAAGCTTATCTAGCCTTCAAGCACATATTCACTTACAAGGACGGCAATTTTTAGTGAAGATACCATAGTTCCCGCTTACCTTATCAGCGAGAGAAATGTAGTTTCAGACAAATCCATCCATCCAGACATTATGTACACCGAAAAAGCTCATTTACAAAAGTGTCCGTTCACAAATTCAACTTTTGGCTACTAGTAAAACACTATCCGTTATCCCACTTTTCTCTTACTATATATTGCATATATATCTGGTGTTAGAAGACCATTAAACCTTTAATTAACTTGAAACAGAGTGATTTATACCTGCCACACCAGCCGTTGTTCCCGCCTGCTCCTCCCAGCTGACGCCACATCAAGCAGTTACATTTTGAAATTTCATACAAACACAAAAGTTAATATATATTCAACTTTACCTTTAAAATCTGAACTTATCTGAATTTAATCTGGGTAACGTGGGTTTAAAATAAATATGATTATAATTACTCCGGTGACTCACTTGCGGAAAATGTTCCTAGCAGACATGTAAACAATAATAAGTTATTTGTTGGTCGTGTGTGAATAAGTTACCGATAACTTTCAAACATATAGTGTTTAAAAGCTTCATGAAGATCTCCATAACAGTTATTGGTCTATTTCTGAAGTATAGCACTACCTTTAAAGAAATGATGTAGATATATATTGTCATAATATCGTATATTTGAAAATTATCACTCACGATACCGTAGACTTGTAAAGCAGTTCCACTCTAGGAGGTTGACAACGTGGATTTTCTAAAATTTCATGTGTTTTTCCTAACGTGAATGTTTATTTGAAAATGTAAAAAGAACACTTAATTGCTGTATCGCTTGAGGTTCACTCAGAGCATGGATAACAGAAAAGAGAAACCACCAGATGAAGTAAGTGTGCCAGTGGACAAAGTAAAACCACCTGATCAAGTGGGGATGTTTTGCAGTAATATTAACAAGAGAAAACTGCCAGATCAAGAAGGAATATCAGTCAATAAAGTTACAAAAATAAAACCAACATTGCAAGTGATGGAGCATACCATTAATAATGAGAAGACGCCACTGTGGGATCAAAAGGAGCTTTCCAGTGATATTAAGGAGACGATACTTAGGGATCAAGCGAAGGAGTTTTACAGCGACGGGGAGGGGAGTAAATTGTGGGATGAGAATATTTTTTTTTCATATAAGGATGAGGAGACTAAACATTGTGGTCAAGGAAGAGAGTCTTCCGATGACGTTGAGGAGACTCAACATTGTGATCAAGGAAGAGAGTCTTTCGATGAGGTTGAGGAGACTCAACATTGTGGTCAAGGAAGAGAGTCTTTCGATGAGGTTGAGGAGACTAATCATTGTGATCAAGGAAGAGAGTCTTCCGATGAGGTTGAGGAGACTCAACATTGTGGTCAAGGAAGAGAGTCTTCCGATGAGGTTGAGGAGACTAATCATTGTGATCAAGGAAGAGAGTCTTCCGATGAGGTTGAGGAGACTAAACATTGTGATCAAGGAAGAGAGTCTTCCAGTCACGATATAAAGGCGACGCCTCGGGATCAGGAAATAGACTCTTCCGGTGGGGGTGAAAAGATGAAACCATGGGACCAGGAAATGGAGTTTTCCTATAATGTTAAGACGACGACCCCATGGGTTCAAGAAACAGAGTCTTCCAGCGAGGATGAAAACACGACAGCATGGAAGTTCTTCACTAAGGATGAAAAGGCAACGCAATATCAAGGAGGGAAACCTTATATAAAGGACAAGGAGACGTTATCAAAGTGTTTCGAGGACAAGGAGGCAGCACCATTGAAGTCTTCCAGTGAAGATGAGGACATAAAACTTCCTGATCAAATGAAGATGCCTATGATTGGCATGAATATAATACGGGTAAGTTTAAGATGGTGAATTTGTTGTCTGGGTTATGGTGGTAGATTAGTACTGTCACGTCGCACTCGCCGTTGCTCATTTTTCGATGCAGAAATTTAGCTGGAATTATATTTTAAAGACAAAATGTAAAT